GGCACGGCCGTGGGTCAGGTGCTGGGCTGATCCCTGCTTCACCCTCACCCAAACACACCCACACCCTCCCTGGCCTTTGTCCTAGGTTTTAGTACCGGTCCGAGACGTCGTTCCCCGGTGTTGCACAAAGCAAACGAACCGTACGGCTCCTCCTGGATGAGAGCCTCCCTCTGCAGCCCCTTCCTTACCATGTGTGTGCTCCCTATCCTCATTCCCTCCTTCCATAGATGATTTTTCCTTAAAAAGGAAGAAGACAATGAAGGCACTGATTGCCACAATGAGTGCAGGAGCAGGGCTCCCATGCCACTCCCATGCCCATGCCAGCACAGGGGCCACATCCTTAAGGAGCAAAATGCAGTTCACAGCACCATAAGCTGCTTAAAAATTGCTGGCATAAACCAGGATCAGAAGTGCCTGCCAGAAAGCGGAGAGAGGTGTTTCCCACAGCCTTGCGTTCAGCGTTTCCCTGCCAGCCTGCGTCTTCGCCGCACAGGTATTCGTCAGATGCATCATCTGTGTTATCAATGTGCTGCACCAGCCTCAGGGACCGGGGGAGTTGAAATGTTTATGCAAGTACAGGAGCTTATTTCCTAAGTCATGTGTCTGCACAGCTGACATCTGAAGAGAGTTTTAAGCCTCTAAGTGAAGTGTTGATAGCTAAATCCATCAGTGCTTTAGAAAATTAGAAATTGCTGTAAAGTGAATAATGATGCAAGGGTAGGCTGGGGGCTGGGCACCAAACTGATGTCGAGTTTATCAACAGCATCAATTTACAGAAGCAGGCGAGGCCTTTCGGAGAAGGCAGCTTGGTTTTCCCATGATGAGATGACAAGAGCAAAGGAAGGAGTCTGTTTTGCTGTCCTTTCCCCCTCCTCAACCCTCTAAATGCCCAGCTGACCCTGCAGCCAGCTCCTTTACAATAACCCTCCTTTGCTGGCGAGCAGGCTGACCCGCAACCACAGCACCCACCCTGCCAAGGGGACGTTTGGGTGGCAGGAGGCTACGGGAGCAACCATCATGCTGCCTCCTCCGCTCAGCACGGCACTGGTAGCTGGTCCTCCATGCCCCGGCGATGCGAGGTTATTCCAACCACCAGAGCAGTGCACAGCAGCCACACCTGAAAACCTCTGAAAGCCCAGGTTTTCAAACAAACAGATTATCCTTAAGGGGAAAAAAAGGGACTGCACTGAGTTAAACCAGCACAGGATTACGCTTCAGAAACACCAACCCACTGAAGTCAGCACCCTTCCTCCCTCCAGCAGAATTTGCTAAGAGGGCAGGAATCATCGCTAGTCTCAGGTTCACCAAAGGACTCTGGCTCCTGACTTCCCCGTGACTTCAGCGGGAAAGCAGACGCCTAAAGAGATAATCGTGGCCTAAATGGGTTTGCTGAACCCATGCCAAAGCATCTTTGCATCCAGCCTTCGGTATTTAAATATGTCTGATTTTCCTTACTAGATGCATACGGCATTGCTTTGAAGAGCGAGCGGCTCCGGCGTGTCACCGAAATGCTTTTCCTGATGGCAGCACGCGATCCCGAGACACCGCGGAGGCACGAGGACCTTGCCCGCCCGCAGCACCGGGGGCACCGGCTGGTGCGCACCTCCCAGCGTACGGCTTCAGCGCAACCCCACAGGACTGCCCCAGGAAATTCATTTATATGAAATTAAACTGGATTTAATTTACCTCCTTACACTATTAAAAAGTAATATTTACATCACCATGGAAACCCTGCATAAAACTGGTAGTTAGACACACGCTTCCAGTGCTGGTTATGCAACGGCCGTGTCATGTGAATGATCACGTCTTACAGTGGCTCAGGAGAGTGCCAATCCTCCCGTATCCGGTGGGACACGATCTTCCTCCTCGGCCCGATGAGAGCAGCCTTCCTCGTCCCATCCCAGCTCGGCCCCGCCGAGCTCCCCTCTGAGGAGAGGCAGGCCCCAGGGGGGACCTAGCTCGTGTCTTCAGGGTTATTTTTCCTACGTCTGACGCAGGACACGCACCCCTCCCTGCCATTCTGGAACTGTTTAACTTGGAAGGACAGAGGAGAACAGGCCAAGTCCCCTGAATGCATCTTGAGGGGTATGTTTTAGGGGAAGTTTTGGGAAAACAGCTGGGGAGGTGGTGTTATCA